GCTGCTGCCAGCAGCTCCACCTTGGGACGGCTGTGAGGGACCCGCTGCGGCCGCCCTGGCTGGTTGAACACGCTGAGCCGCTATCGCTGACCTTAGGCACAAGCCTTGGGCTGCTTCAGCCTGAGGCTTGATTTTTTTTTTTTTTTTTTTTTTTTTTTTTTTTTAAGTGCTTACAAGTTTTTTTTTCTCTAACTCAGTGAACGTTAGAGGTCAGACTTCTCAGCTCTCTCAGGAAAGGTTCCTTTGGTGACCTCGGGTTCTCTGTTTTCAGGGTATCGCATCATTTACGTGAACCTTCTCTTTTTGTTCCCTGTTTGTTCAGAGTCAAAAGTGCAGTGGGGTCTCGGAGAGATCCTGCACGCCCAAACTGAGCAGTACTTTAATCATCACTTGTGACTAAGTGTCACTTGCTGTGACTAAGAATTGCAGAATAAATTGGACATCCTTGGAAACATGCAGGGAGAATGTGTGGGTTTTGTTTTAGTTTGGTTTTTTTTTTTTTTTTTAAAAACAGCCTGAAATTGCTAAAGTAACCATTTCTTGGTAATTTCCCTGGTTTTGTTTTATATTAAGAACAGTTGCTTCGATTCTGCCCCTTCAAAATTGTTGGGATCAACGCTAGGCTTGGTGTGTGCTCCAAGAACCTAAAGCTTTTGCTGTCCTTGCTATCCTTTTAACTAATACTGTTCCTTTAAACAACTTTATTTTTATCTCACTGGTGTGTCATGTCTTGAAAAGGTAAGATCTTTATTGCATGAGCCTGGCTTGTCTCCTGTTTATGCTCAGTCTTCTTGCACCGTGGTTCATATCACAATCAGTACAGTGTTGTTGCTTACGCTCAGATAAATAGTGACATTTAAAAACTGTTTGCAGTCTTTGTAGAAAATTGATGCCACTGAATCATGTGGAACATAAAATCGTCTGGGACTCAGATCAGTGGTGTTCCTGGCATTGCATGGAGAACGTTGTGCTAGCCCTGTGACTGACTCTTTCTCACTGTGTCCTGTGCTGTGTTTGCTGTCTCCTGAGAGGGGATGGTATGAAGTGCTCCTTGGGCCTCTTCCCCGGTGTAGGAAGGTTACACTAGCACGTATTTTTCGTATCTCTAGCCCCCTTGGCTTTCTCGGGTTTTTTTCTTCCTTTTTTTTTTTTCTTTCTCATTTTGGCCATAACTGCCTTTGTCTCTCTTGTTGTCTTAATTGCCAGGTGGGTTACTTAAAGGTCCTAATTCAAGTGAACGCGAGTGATTGGCCTTTATGTATACATCTTCATATGGACTGCTTAGTAACGGGGTTTGAAATGTTGCATAGTAACTAATTTGGTGATGTTTTATTTCACTTTGTGTATTTTCACCCCTTTCTGTGTCTTGAACTCTGATCTGTTTGGTATGATAATAATAACTATCAGGACAAATTAAAAAAGGGCTTAATTTTGTTCTCATCTGACTGGAGATTTCTGTTGGTTTTGGAGAGAACAAGATTGATCTAAACCTCAGTACCTTTATTAAACAAAAGTAAAAATGCCTAGAATACTCTTCTCTGATTTTTCCAGCTTCACTTGACTGTACACTTTGTCAAAGAATAATTTGATTGAAGCTCCATTACGATGCATGTAACTTAGGACTTTGTATAGCAATACTCCAGTCTTGTGATAGCTGTTTAACTACTGGTGTAATCTAGCTACTTAAGCTAAACATAAGAGAGAACCTGTACACAAAATACAGAAAGATGCATGATGCGTTTGAGATGATTATTATTTATTTAATTTAATGCACAGTGCTGCTGACAGAGCAAACGTGGCAGGAGCTTTCTTTTTACTTTTTGTGTGTGTACAGTGCCCTTTGCCATGAGAACCACGGTTGTGGAGCTTCTGTTAACTAATAAGCAAGCTGTAGGCTTTATCCAAAATACAGCAAGTGATTCTTCTTTTTTTTTTTAAACTTCATAGGTACTGGAACTGATAATGACCTTTATATAAATCAAGCTGTAGTATTTATTGAAGATGCAATACAGGTAAATATAACTTATTTGTTAGCTATTATGCTTCCTATGCTGGATATTTGTCACACATTTTGCTAGCTTTTAAGTTTTTATGTGTTCAGGTAACATTGTTCAGGTAACTCCATGTAATACTGTCTTGATTTCCAAAGCAAAATTAGAAATCCAAATTCCTGTGGTATGCAAGTTTCAGTGAACTTCTGCCTAGGAGAAACATGTTTTTCCACACAATGAAATAGATAGTGTCTTCTCTTCAAGGTTGTCAAAAGACATGCTGGTTTGTGGGGTGGTTTTTGGTTTGGAGTTTGTGTTTTGGGGATTTTTTTGAGAGTGACTGGCCTTACTGCTGTGAGAAACTATCTGAGCAAACGCTGTAATTTGCCTCTAAATGTGACTACTTGCGTAGCTTAAAGAGCTGGTAGAGTTTAAGGCTAGCTTCAAGCGAGAAGGTGGAACTCTTGTTTCAGCTGTACTTAGTGCCTTTGGAAATATTCATTCTCTCTTTGTCTCTCCTTTACTGGCCGTTACTGCAGATTCCTAGATACTGTTATCTCCCAGTTATTAGTTGCAGGTAGTGGGAATGCTGGAGGGCAGTTCTTGAGCTCTTTTGCTGCATTCAGGTAGCTTTTGGTTGGGAGATTTCTGGGGATCAGATATATTTAAGGTATGCACACCTTTCTGGAACCGGATACTTCTCAGCGGAGGCAGAGTAACAGCAGCCCAGGAGCAGCTGCTGAGGAGGGGCTGAGCAGACTTCAGCAAAAGCAGGCCCGTTCTGAAGAATCACGGGTACTTCCTTGAACTTAAAGCGTGTTTTGTTTGGAGACCTAGGTTGAGGTCTCTTGTATTCAGGACTAAATTCTTTGCGTCTTGTGGCTTTTTGGAGGAGAAAGGCAAAAGAAGATCTGTGAATGGAATGAATGCTAGAAAGGTAACCTAAATGGGTGGACCATTTTGGCAAGTAAGTAGAGTAGGCACTGAATTATTACAGATGTTGTTATTTGTAATGGTGATAATGCTTGCTTCAGATGACTGCCACACAGTTTGATTATCTGTGTAATGGTGCGGTCTTTAGATTAGGAAAACTTCGTTAAAATCTTTCCCGTTGCATATGTGTAGGCTACAGCTATGGTCATTGATGACTGACACTTTATTAACTTGTACAATAATTTCTTTATCTTATTGTGAAACTGGAATTGTCTCAAGACTTGAGCTTTGTTAGTTAGAATTTGGTTTATTTTGGTAACTTGATCTTTGTCTTTGAGACAAACTGAATGTAATGTTTGAATTATCCTTTTTGCTTTCCGCCTTCAGTATCGATCTATAAATCACCGTGTGGACTCCAAATCCCTATGGCTTTATCGATGGTACTATTCAAGAACTTGCCAGTGGTAAGAACTTGGTATTCTTTTTGCTTTTTTGTTTAGGAGTAAGTCTTTATAAAAAATTATTCTTCATCTTTCTTTTTTGCTAAATAATTAGATAATCGTGCTTTTATCCTTATAAGAACTTACTGTAGGAAGCAAGTGGATTGACTACATGTGAGCATGATAGAAGTGGAAAGCAACAAGTTATATGAAAGTGTGGTCATGTAGATGGCTCTTTGGAACAGCTGTAGGACTGTTGCATGAATGGACTATTGGCATGTTTTACAGCAGTGTGTGTTGAGTTTTTCCAGGTGTCTATTTCTAAACATGTTAAATAGTGGTAAGATTGCTTGCTGCTGTTAGTTTCAAAAGAACACCACCTAAGGTTAATTTGGTGGTCAGCAGTTATGTTATTATAATGCAGGCAACAGCATGCTAATCAAGTTCTACGTTTTGATCTAACCCATTTGTGTTAAATACGATATTATAAAGCTTGGTTTACTTCTAAGAAAATTGCTTTACTGTAAGTACTTTGTTATTCTTTTGACTCATTTTGTGGATTTGGTGTTTTTCGGGGCTTGGGTTTTTTTGGTTTGTGTTTGTTTTTTTGGTGTTTTTTTTGTTTGGTTGTTTTGTTTTGGTTTTTTTTTGGTGGTGGTTGTTGTTGTTGTTGTTTTTTAAATTTCATCTCTATCCAAACAGGATTTTGAGTTTAACCATCACTATAATCCTGGCTTTGGCTTTCATTGAAAAGCCTTCTTCGCTTACTGTCACGTCAGATGTACGATACCGCCTTCCTGCGTGGAATCCTCCGTGTGGTCTAACAGAAAGCATTGAGCTTCTTTGCTTTCTTGTGTTCGTGGTTGATGTATCTGTGAAGGTGAGCATCACGTTCATCTCGTATTGAATGAAATACTAGGTGTGTTGTGCAGCTCAGTAGGTATAGTCAGTGTGGCTTTTCTCCGTTTTATATTTTGGTAAATGCAGTAGAGCTGTTATTCAGATCTTGGATTTACATGATGAGGTTGCTTTGCTTTATTAAAGCCTTACTTTCAGAGAAATTAGAAAGTGCATATTTCCTGAATTAAGAAACTTACTGCCTCTTTTTTGTTTTTTTAACCTAAGAAATATAAACTCCTGTTTGTGTGGAATCAGTGACATGAATTTTGCTAATAATACAATGGTTCCGGCTTAGCTGCTTGTATTAGGCTATAAAAATTGGGTTATATAATAATCAAATATATGCCAGTTCATTTAAACAAAATAGAAATAGTCAGAAACTGAGCTTTTCTTTGGGTGTTTGTTTCTGGAAAATCTTTTTATGCTTATTAAATGGACATGTTTCTTGCATTTGAAGGATTCCTCTCGTGTGGACTGTGTGTACCTCTCACTTTTACTGACCTTTATTTAGTTCTAGAAAAATTCTCTGATCCATGTACTTGTGCTTGGATTTCAGGGAGCTTTTTATGACACTGGTGTAAAATTACAAATACTTGGTAAACAATTGGTGCTGACTTATTAGGGCATTAGAATTTATTATTAAAGTAAGTTGTTCGTTTGTTTGTTTTCAGAGTTACTTAATTGGATGGGAAGAATTTTGGAAGAATAAATGGCTAATGGCTTATATACTGACATTAATTGTTTCCCTTACTGATTGGGTTGTATCACTGAGTTTTCTCTGCGCAGAGGTAAGAACTGCTTTCTGCAGAAACAATCAGCAACTTAGTTGTGGAGAGTGGCAAAGGAGAAGAACCTGCAAAGCGATAGTCAGCAGGGTGTATGTGGCATATTGGAGAATTAGGGGAAGAGGGTGAGGTGGTTCATTTTTGGTCTTTGATAGCTGGGTAAATACACTGAAACACAGAAAATGTTTGGTGTAATGTAGCTTCTCAAGGGATTCTCTTTGATTCTTAATATAAGATGTGAGTTCATTGGTAAAATTAAATAAGGCTTTGTTGCTGTCAGCAGTCAAAGAGTATAGAGGAAACTCTGGTTGCATAGCACCAATTCTGTCATACAGTTGGAGAATGATGTTCTTGATTCAACGGCAGTGTCTATGTAGTGATGTGTAAGTAAAAGGTAATTGTGTAGTTTAATAACTGCTTTCTAAGATGAAGCTGTGTTGTGTTCAAAACAATTGTGTCCTGAGAGGAATGTCAGTTTTGTGAAACAGTTCTGAAAGTGTCCTCCTTTAGGTAATATTGCAATCTGTCAATTGATTTTCTCTGCCATGACAACTCTGCATGAAATTAGTTGTTATTCACTTACAATCATCATTAAGAAAATACTAATTTGGTGAAAATGCTGGGAAGCGAAAGAGGCAGAAATGTTGAATGTTGCTTCTTATGTTCTTGTGTCAAAGCCATTATCTGTTCATTTATCTTCAGATAACTTTCAATCCTATTTCAAATTATTGGCTGTATTAGTCAGGATTAGGCTGGCTGCAGTTGCAACTATTAGTAACACACTGTTTAGTTGTTCATGCTTCAGTGGTCATAGTTGACCACTGGTCACTGCTGACCAGGATGTGATGTACTATCAGAGAGATGATCCTAAAATGTTGAAAGAACATGTCACTTAAGCTTACAAGCATCTAACTATAAGAAAAATGCCTATGTCCTTTTCATATTCAAGCCAAATAAATATAATGTGGCTGAAAGAATTTAATTGTCTGGGATGAAGATTGTACTTACAACATGGGGAAGAAGTGATTGTGAAGTTTTTGGGTATGATGGCGGACAAGTAGTTTGAACAGGAGCCTCCCATACAAAGCAGTGGCAGAAGGAGCATTTTAACTGCTGGGATGTACGAACAAGGGAATAGTGAGGAAGAAAGTGATTTTTTTTTGTTGTTGTTATGTGTGGCCTTGAGAAGACTAATCCTAAAATGCAGGATGGTGAAATACTTCAAGTAGCTGATAAGTCACAGAAGTATCTTGAAGGCTGGCAAGTGTCTTGAATGCAAGAATCAAACAGCTTAATTGCTTTAGTGTATGTTAAGGAAAATAAAGGCAATAACCTGTTTGAGTCTTGTCAGAGGCAGAAAATGATCGGTAATTAGCAGGCCCTTTAATTATAAAAAGGCTGAAAATTGAAATCAAGCACTTATTTTCAAAATGTGCATCTGTTGTTACTGAAAGTAGTTTGCTATTAATTCCCTTCTTGAAATGCACCTTGGCAGAAAATATTAAAATGCCATCTCTTGACCTGCTTGTTTTGTCTACCCAGCAGTGAAGTTAGATTGTTTATAATTAGTGGCCTGATGAGGCTATTGAAATGCAATGTGCTTTTTTAAAGCAATCTCTCAAGCTATTAATGAGGCACCTGTATGTATAAAATCTTTTGTGTGCTTTGTGACTTCAGTGGGACAAATTTAGCTTCTGAGGACAGCCTTTTTATGTTACACTGTTGACTTTGTTGATACGTGTATCAGTGGTTTTTGACAAACTTGTATGAAAAATATTTGTGGTGTTTAGTCTTACGGGAACTCAGTATCTGATCCATTGTCTTGTTTTTTACAGGATGTGAGAATAAGAAGAATTCTTCGTCCTTTCTTTCTCCTTCAGAATTCTTCTATGATGAAGAAAACATTAAAAAGTATCAACAGCACATTGCCTGAAATGGCAAGGTAGGTAATAGCATAGAAAACCTCCTTTCACAGCAAATGTGTAGTTACCATTAGTATTCTGCAGTGACACCTGATGGTCTAGCTAAGTGGTTGGTGAGATCTGGTAGTAATGGATGAAGTGTTGTGTTAACCCTTTGGTTCCTTTAGTCTGTAAAATTTCTCTAGAATGCATGTGATGTGACTCTGTATGTGCCAGATAAGGTTTTTGATGCTAGTTGAGTGTTTTTTTTTAATTCTGTATGTGTTACATACAGCCCTTTTGTAAGGGAAGAACTGAGGCATCGCCTGGGCAAAGGTCTATGCTGTGTAGCTTCTCAGAGGTATGGGTAGACACACATGTACTTGTCTTCCAGTCATGAGTGCCACACAACAAATAACTCTTTCTTTATACCTTCAAAGTGCTTCAGCTTTTTCATTTCTAAATGGTTTTGGCCATATATGTGTTAAATTTTACTGTCATTAGAAATGTTGAACGGGAAACCCCACTGGTGAAATCGTAACCAGGCAGCTTGATGCTTTTTGAAAGAGATCGCTTCCTGTGACAAGGGTTGCGTGTATGTACAGCTTATAGAACTCACTGGCCTTGCCTCTTAGTTTTTAACTAACAAGTCCCAGGGGGATCAAAGGTGTATGCAAGCCAAGATGTTGTATTTTGACCAGAGGGTATAAATACAGTCCTAACTTTAGCAAAACAAGTGTTAAAATCTCATTGACCTCACAACTGTCTAAGCTCGTGCTGAGGAGTCATGAACAAGTGTGATTCTTATTCTGAATCAAAGCTTAGATCATCTTCTGTTAACTCCATATAGCTTCTTAAAAATACCCATGGTTTTCTTTATATGGCATTCTTTTGCATTTTTAGCAGAGGGTATTAAGAATAAGATAAAGTTGGTATTAATGCATATGATACGTTTTCTTTCCAACAGTGTTGTTCTACTACTAGCTGTTCATCTGTCTCTCTTTACCATGTTTGCCATGCTGCTGTTTGCTCGAACAAAGGTAACCAATTATATTTATGTGTTGGTAGATCTCAGTGTTTTGGTTTTTTCTTTACTTGCATAGCTGCTGCATGTCTAGTTTTATAATCCAACTAGTGAAACTTGTTTCCCTCGAAAAGGTCATGTTACCTTGTCAAGCTTACTGGGATGAGTTTAAAGTTCATTTAGGGATATTTAACCTGTGCATAGTATCCATGCTGTTTCTGTAAGCGTGCATTAGAAGGCCCCTCAGAATAGTGTTAATATCTCTTCATCCTGTAGTGAAGAATTTTTTCCAGTCTCTACTTTGCTGCTTAAGTGATAATGCTCCTTCCTACTCCACAACTGAAATCTTTGACTCTTGCTGTATGCTGTGGCATATTATTTTATCAATCTAGCTCCACTGCTCAGAGTGAAGTTAGATGGTTCCATACTAAAATGTGATCAACATCTTTGTTTATGGTCCTGCATGTTACTGGTACTGATGCCATTATCACGGGTGTGAAATTGAAAGTCTGTTTATACAAGAGACTTCCTTATACAGTTCTCCAGTTTGATCTTTTGAGTTACTTTCTCTGCTTTTGTTGAAACAACCTATGCTGTTCTGTGTCCAAAGCTCTTAATCTTGTCACTTTTTTGTTTATATAATCACTCATTTCTCTTTACCTTTTCCTTATCTAGCTTTTTGCTAAGTTTAGTTTCTTCTGTGTTTTCTTATCTTCCGATACTGGTATCCCTGGCCGTTCCTTGGTAGGTTTTTGCCTGGTTTTGCCTGCAGCACTCTGATGTTTTGGTTTCTGATCTCTTTGTTTCTTCCTCTGTTTTTTCTCTTCCCGCTTCCGAAAATCAAATTTGAAATATTGTGGTTAAAAATCACTTTTGTGTTCCAGTGCTCTTGGTATGTTCCCTCTCTCCTAAACTTCCTGTATCTTACTGTATCATACTTGGATTTTTTTTTTGTCCTTACTTTTTAAGGCCTTCTATAACTGTGCTCCTGTGAGCACAGAGATTTGTTGCGTATTTCTCCCAGTAATTTTAGTCCTCTCCTTAATCTCAGTTTAGCACCTTCATTCCTACTGCAATTTGCACTTGAGCCTGCCTCTAGTCTTCCTTACAATCAGCAAATTCCTTGAATTCCCATGTCATAGAATTTCTGAAATTAGAAGCAGAGCTCTGTTTTTCCCCTTTGTTTAGTTGCATGCTGAATCTTTGTATTAACTCTGTATGTCACATCTAATTTTAGTTATGAGCTATCCCAGCAGATGGGAATATAACTTGTATACCTGAACCAGTCAAATTTGTATATATTTAAGTGAAAAATAACAAATTAGAGAGCAGTCTTTCTTTCCTTTTTTGATTTGCTAGTCTAATACCCTTTCAAACTAATTGTATCTAACCAGGCAAAATACTGGAAGCGAGTTCTAAAAATACATTTAGTAATGAAATTCATGCCTCTAGATTTTTGCCTTGTCTTGTGTATGTCCTCTAGAGGTACATTTTTTCCAGTCTTTGCAGCAAATTCAAGGGCTGTTTGTTCTGTGCTGCATGATTTGTGTTTGTATTGTTTGCACTCTGCATCTTTTTCTAGCTGTCTCTACTTGAACTTGGGGAAAAAAGTAAAATGATGCAAGATCAGCCTCCCAGTGTGTTTTTTATGAAAATTCTGATACTATCAGAGCTTTAGCAGATCATCTGATGTTTCCACTGAGCCACAAAATAATTTTTATGACCTTAGTTACCAAAGTATTTGCAAATATTTTTTTGGTGCTGTAGCACTGATCTTTTTTTGTTTGTTTGTTTGTTTGCTTTTGTTTTTTTTCCCAATATGTTTAAGCTCTATGTGATGTTTTCATTGATACTGCACATAGCATTTTGAATCTTCATTCTCTTCAAAACAGAACAGTTGCATGTTTTCCACCTGCCCAACAACTCCTGTAATGTGCACTAATGCTGGCTATAGTGTATTGCTTTATATTGTGTGATCTTATTTGTTGTAAATATTTATTTCCTCTAAAATAAGATGAGGACTATACTTGTACTCATATTTTAAGTACATCTTCATGTACGTTATTGCAAAGAGACCTAAAACTTGTCTGGCTGTGTTCTGTGTAGATGTTACTGTAATTAAACAGAGCCCCTTCAGTATGTAAGGGGATAACTGGGGAAAGGGGAAAACCTCTGGTCTGAGTAGTGGTATTAATTTTTGTGCAAATAACTAATTCAGAGGATGTTAAGTTTTCCATCTGAAAGTCAAAGGGGAAGCGAGAGACATTTCATGCACAGAGTATGCTAGTCGAGCTGTAGGTGTTTGAGAGGAGGTCAACATCTATAGGCAAGGATCTTTTGTAACACAGTAGTTACTGAGGGAGCTCCTCATTACTGAGGAAGCTGTTTTGTTTTTGTTCTTCAGTGCAGACAAGATCTATTTTAATATTGTCCTCAAATTGTATTCTACTTTTGGACAACTCCTGGAGTGTAGGCCAAGAGTATACAATTCAAGGTGGTTAGGTTTCCATCTATGCCAAGTTACAGCATGCTGTAGCTGGAATAACAAAGGAAGCAGCTTCTGTTCTATGCTAAATTTTATAATACAAGTTGATACTGAAGGTGGTATTAGTCTGTGATTTTTTTATTTTATTTTTTTTATTTTTAAATCATGTTTAGGGAATCTTTTTATCTCCAGTACACTAATATCTCTTGAAGGCTGAGAGGTGATGCTTTTTATATCAGTCAAGGGTGGCTTCAGATTCCTGTATTGTCTGTTTGTGACACTATTGTTCTTCCTGGATTTGAGGTGCTAGCTAGACATGACTTCTCTATTGAGCTTCCTGTGTATGTCTTAGCTTTCTGTTCTTATGTTTTTATCGGCTGTTAATAACTGAAGTGAGTGCACTGTATTCCTACACATTGTCCTATTTTTTTATGCTTGCCTCGTGCTTTTTCATGGGGTAGATTTGATTGTGTGTGTAAGAAATAAATTTTTCACTGATCTCTTTTTTTTTTTTTTTTCTTTTTAAAATTTTTTGTTCCCTTTTCTTCGTAAGACAGTCTTAGTGAATCTTCAGTGTTTCTCTAACAATGAGCATCTCTTTGACTAGGATGGCCAGCAGGATAAGGAGTGGGTGGGGTATTTCCGGAATTTGCCAGAGTCGCTGACATCACTGCTGGTCCTGCTAACTACTGCAAATAATCCTGATGGTGAGCAGTCTTTCAGAAATAACTCTTGTCTTTCTTTTCAAAGAGTAATAGAGTAAGGTTATCTTCAGGCTACTATAACTATTGTTTCAGCTGATAGTTCTTAGTACAACCAGAGGAAGGTTATGTAAAGATTTTTCATGCCTTTAGTAACTTGATTCTTGCCTTTCCTTTGGAATTATATATGCAACTCTAAAGTGGAGCTATATAAGAGCTTTTGGCAATTGTCAAAAACTGATAGAACTCTCCAGTTTTCATCTTAAGCATTAAATTCTTATTTCCTTTTTTGTTAAATCTGATACAGTGATGATTCCTGCATATTCTAAGAATCGAGCATATTCAATCTTCTTCATACTCTTCACTGTATTAGGTAAGTTACCTCTTGTCTTCAGTAATTTAAATGCACTTTAAGTTTGACACTTGTGCTTACCAGCTGCAGCGTGGTTTGTTTTTCTAGGAAAGTTTAATCATAAATTTCTCTTTTTCTATGTTTCTTCCAATTACTGTGTAGTGTCTTGTAAGATAATTCTTATGGAAGGTACTTATGGTTTGGGTTTTTTTCAGTAATGTATCATAGGGGAGTAGATACATTACAGTATATTCAAAAATTAAAAACATTTTGGAAATCAAACACAAAAAACCTAATCCTTTTTAAATTTTACATCTGATTTACTATATACATTGAAACTTCTTTGAGAAACAGATATGTATACTAATAATTCTTACTGCCTCTTTTTCTCTGATAGGCAACTTGTTTCTAATGAACTTGCTTACAGCAATAATATACAACCAGTTTCGAGGATACCTTCTGGTGAGTAAAGTATTCCTAATTTCTGTCTTCTACCATAGCCTTAACAATGTGAAGCCCTGAGTATTAAAAGTTTTCAACTGTGTTAAAGCAGTGTGCCCATCCTAGTTGTAGATACGGTTTTAAGATACTAAAGGCTCTTTCCTGTAGATTCTTTTCCCCATCTATGCTGTTGTAGCTTGATCCCCTTCCATGACAAAATTACCTGCTTGTATACTTCCATGTAGGCTGTGTATCTGCAACTTTGACTATTATGGGGGGGGGAGGGGGGATCAAACTATTATAAAACTGAACAAGGACAAGTGAACAAGTAACTTAAACTTGGTCTCTGAAAAGAAAACCTGCTGTACTATTTGAGTAGCTATTGTTGCAGCTTGTAGCATTTAATTTCTCTGAGTAGAACACCATTAGAAGCCTTCAATAAAAAAGAATCACTGACTAAAACATCTTTGTGTTTGGTATTTTTTACTGCATCCTTACCATGATGGGTGGGTGTGATGTTAGAATGATTAGGGCAGTCTGCTGCCTCTAAAAGATGGACTTGAGCCTTGTAATTGACTTGTACCAGAAACAGTTGCCAGTAGGTATAGTAGTTATTCTTGGTAGTATTCAGTCTCAAATAAAAGGAACCTGTGCTTACCCTCCATGCAATACCAGTCATCCGTGTAATACTTTAATGTGCTTCTGGAAGATGCCTGATCATATGTGATTCTCTCCATTTTGTGGAATGTGAATCTCATTTGTAGTGTAATGATCTCTTTTGATTCAGGTGTCTCTATTAGAGAAGTAAAAGCTGACAAAGTCAGTGTACTTTTGCATGTTTTTCAAGGAGTGTGCAATCTGTGGTGATGATTAAACTCATCACTAAAAGATTTCTTTCCTTTGTTAACAAGCTGTGCGATGTGCATTGTTGCATTACGTACACCAGTTGTTTAGTCTCCAACTGGGAGTGTAGTCTGGATTCCCCTAGCAGGAAATAATGTAAGTGCTTTTGTTTTTTTTGTGAGATAGTGCAGTTGAACAATCTAGGAGGAATTGTAATAAGCTGAAGCGAGAGCATTTTAGAAAGCAAAGTCAGTCAAATGAAAGATCATCTCAGTTACTTCCAATAAAATGTACTTCATCCAAGAAGTTAAATTTGTGACTTCCCTATTGCTATTACAAAAAGTAGTAACTGACTGGATAGGTGGTGGCAGGAAGAGGCTGCATGGGTGCAGCTGGAGAACTCTAGAACTGGGTTTATCTCCAGCAATGAATACAGAACATCCAAGGTGCTTAGCAGTTAACACACCTGGTAGATTAGTAGAAATAACACAGTGCTAGGCTAAGTATTAATGGTTATCACACTGATGGCACACAACTGAATCGTTGGTCAGGCAGTTATCAGTCAAAAGGGAGCTGTCAGTCTTTTGCTCCTCAGAACAGGCTGAGTCTTGATCAAACTGTCTTCAAACTGTTTTGAGTTTTTTATTTGAGCTTTGTAACTTCCATGGTGAAATTTTTCTCTCAAGTCTTGAGTTAGTTCTTCAACAGTTTCACTTCCAGCTTTACTTTCCTCTTGCATATTTTATAAAAATTCACAGTCAACAGCAATGTTTTTGGTAAAGCTGAGTCAGGGTAGCACTATGCAAAAGCACTGGAGTCTGACAGCTAAGCCTCTGGGCTGTATGTTAAGCTTTTTTCCCTTTCTGCCAGTACAGTGATGGCCTCTGTAGCTTGGAATGAAGAGCGGTTCCTGACTGCGTACATTCCAACTGGTCTTTTCTCATGCCTATACTTTCCTTCAGGCTTCGGAGCAGGGGAAACTCGGTGACTTTGATATTGGGTGTGATTTCCCCCTTGCTTTACATATGGTCTTATAGTTCCTTCATTGTTTACTTCTCCCTTTATATATAGTGTTATAGTTTCTTCTCATTACTTACGTAGTTCAATAGTTCATTCAGCCCTTGAGAGGAGTGGAGTTGAGGGCTTGAGGGGGAAAAGTGAAATAATAGCTGCTCTAGTAGGGCTCCAGAGAGAAGGTTAAGTTTGTTGAATGGTAAGCCTTAGGCAATATTACACAAAAGGAATGGCCCCCACCCTCTTGTGGGAGAGGGGTGTTTAAACCTAATATGTGGAAAGAGGAATTTTTGTAATTCTTTACTCCTGCTCTGTTTCCTCCCATCTTTCTCAATTTTCTGCTTTCCTATGTGAGAGCATGCCATAATCTTGACTCCCAATAAAGTAGCTGAGTTTGAAAGTGATTACTGTGGGGAAAAAAATGAAGCATGAAAAACTGTGTCTCTGTCTTTCTTCTTTTTGGCAAGAAGCTGGAGTTGGACAAGCTGTCTAACTTATCTTTGCACAGTAGTATGAATTTCTGTGAACACTCGAGCTTTGCTGTTGCCATTGTGTCCAGAACAGGCATGTGCCTATGCAATCCAGAATTAAAAATAAACTGTGACCTGGATGTTTACTTGAACTCCAGGGACTTGTTTGCTTGCTTCCTTCCCTCTCGTACACAGAGTTCTTGAAGGGAGCGAGGCCTAGGGAAGTCTCCTGTTCTGATCTCTAATCGCAAATCTGGGTTGTGTGCCAGAGGATCAGTACATTATCTGACCATAGGACATAGTACTGCACGAGGAGCTGGGTAACCCTGATCTTCCCCAAGTCCTTTTGGTAGGAATGGGCTTAATTGATTTCAGCCTACGACTCTTCATGGTATTCCTTTTAAACTGTGGAGTGTCTGTCAGGTTGGGCCCAGTATCTGGACAACTAGATTTAGTGGCTAATGACAGGGACTTTGGTGGTGGGAGAAAGAAAACAGTATTTTGCCGTCCTGAAAAAAAATATTTTAGTTGAACAGATATGGCCCTTTCTGAGACTTGCAATAGGTTCTAAGGGCTCGGCAAGTATTTTACAGGTCTTACTTGTGTCGTATGGTTGGATTTTCTTTAAACAAGTGCAAGTAAATTGTCTCCTTACTGTCCAGAAATCGGTTCAGTCCTCCCTCTTCAGGAGGCGACTGGGAATCCGGGCTGCATTTGAAGTGCTTTCTTCCCTGAAAGAGACTCCTGCTAATGCACAACAGTAAGTGAAGAATGTTGAAACAGTAGATTGTCTGGGAGAAGAGAGCAGATTTTTGCTTGTCCTCCTTTGTTTAGTATATTTACTGAGGATCCCTTCTTGAAAAATGGCACTTTGTTGCTCATCTCTTATTTTTATTCTTTAACTGGATGTTTATAACACACAGTTTGGGACTCTTATGGGGTCTGTTCCCTTTTTATTTCTACTTCTAGTTTTATCTGCTTTTCAGAAAGGGAAAGAGGCAGGAATGCATTTGCAACAGCTTTTTTTTGCCATCAAGACAGTTACCTGTTTCAGGGCCCATCCTATTTTCTTTTAAATAGGTCGTATGTCAGTGTTGGGGCCTTACTACAAGTGCTGCAGAAAGTTGAAATGGATTGTCGCTGCAAGCAAGCCATCACGAGAGTAAGAACTGGATTTTCCTAGTCTTTATGTTGGTGAATGTCAAACGCTCTGACGGGACAGCTGTGGAAACTGAAATTTCCTTAATCATGCCATTGATCTAGGAGTAGTAGTTTCAGCTCAGCTTTCTTTATGCTGCTTTCTTTAAGTGTGAACAGAGGCCTGGTTCAGTGTCTGTTTATGTTTTGGTCTTCAGAACAAAAACAGTCTCTAGGCAGTGATTTCATCTTAAGATTTCTACTCCTTGGTTGGTGTGATGAGGAATGCATTTACCTGTAGAGAGGTGTAGACTAATGAAAACTCTTCTTTTGCAGGGCTAATTATTTCATTTGTTTTACTTTCTCTTTGGAAGCAAGGCATTTCTCACTGTGGTCTAGAGCTGCTGTCTATAGCAGCTTCCCTCTACCATTTGAAAATGCCTCTTTCCACTGGATTTTAGTTGTACGGCTCCCTGTAGGTATTAATACTTGTATTAGGATAAAGGGAGAGTGGCTTTGCTTAACTGAAGACTTAATTAAAGGTACTGTTCATGCCATGATTTTCAGAGATTAGGGAAATTATTTGGCTCTAATAAGAGATATGGAGATTATTGGTGTGGTTTCAGGAAAAATTATCTAAAGGTAATGTTGCTTTTTGAGAACAACACTGCAGCAGGATTTGGAAAATCCATGTTGTAAGATCTTCTGCCAAAAGGAAGTGGCAGTTCAGAGCTGATGGTTATAGCATCAGCAGTTGGCTGGCTCCAATGTGAAGAAGGTTGGAAGTAGAATGAAGAGGTATGCGTGTATTGCTTCCAGTTGTTGCCTGGGATAGGGGACATGTGAACAGAGTTGCCTGAAAATAAATACCCTGCTCTGTAGTTATGCTGAGCTGTCCCTTGCATTGTTAGTTAGGGAAGCAAATCCAAGTTTTAGTTTTTCTTTTGGTTGTTAGTGGGTTTTTTCCATTTCTTTTGTTGCTGTGTCTGCTACAGTTGCAGTTAGTGTTTAGCATGCTATAGAACTGTCTTCATCATGTTCCAATTTTTGAAATAATTCCATCCATTCAGGCACTAACTTCCTTAGAACAGTGATAACTGACATAGTATCTTCATTTGTTGGATCATAACATAGTAATGGCAATACTAGATGAGACTAAAAATTCAAGTATGTCAAAAGAGCATGCTCCTTCTTAAGCAGCATGTGATCCCAGAGAGAGAAAATAGAAAAGGTGAGACAAATCCCACAGTCACATGGCAGTTTTGTGTTAAAGCAAAGCAATATCGAAGCTCTCTCTAGTACCTTGATGTGGGTTGTATTACTTCTCTGTTCCTAGACTTATAAGATAGTCTGAGGATGTTGGCAGTCTTTGAAGCTGCATCTATTGCAGGTGTTGATCTGAATGTTTCTCTTTCATGTGAAGTCACTCAAAATGTGCTCCTGTGACCAGCTGTCAGCTACCCAGTTTCAGAAGCTCTTTGAAGAACTAGACAAAGATGCCATTAAGCAAGTAAGTATCTGACAATCATTTATAAAGTGTCATAAGTTGAGTGTGGTCTTGTGCAAAAATAAGTGCTGGTATTCTGCTGTCAAGCCTATGAACAAACTTCACAACTTGTTGAATGCAAGGCGAAATCAAGTGTCATTGATTTTTAAGTTGTTCATGGATTGTTCTTATAGTCACAAACAGTATTGCTTTGTGGGCTTTTACAGCATTAGTTTGGGATTGCCAGGTAGTGTTAAATATACAAAATGTGTGGCTGTTTAATATGTCAGCATTTTTAAGTATCTTGGCCAGGCAAAACAGACGAGGGCTCTGTGTATTTTTTTTTTTTAATAGGAAGATTCATTACAAGGAAACAAGGTATAGGAGTTAGACTTTTAGCATAGCGTTTCTGAAAAGTGCCGTGGAGAAATGAGTACCTCTGTAGTAAATTGTTTTTGATGAAATGTGAGGGATTTGTCTTGTTGTGACAGTCCTATATTAAACCAATGCATCTCGGCTATATATTAGTCTTTGCAGGGTAACAAATACTCTTAGGCAAAGTCTTTTCTCCAGTCCCTGAACAAAGAATGAAATGTGGATTCTTGAAGTGTTCAGATGAAGATGGGCAGAAAGCAGTCTTTTCCACTTGGAGAAAGAAAAAAAAAAAAAAAATCAAACTTTTTGAGGGTTAGGAAATGTTCTCTTTTATGTTTGCATGTAAATAAGACTTCTGAATCTTTTAAGGGAGATTAAATGTTGGGAAATGGGGAAGGAACGTATACAATTAGTAGCTTGGTGTTTAGTTTTACCTGCTTGGGCCACTGGAGAGAGGTTGGATCATCTCCCTTCTTTGCCATTATCTTGTGTTGTGCCATAACTGTCAACCCATTTGCTAATCAGAAATGATCTCTTGCTGCTAAGAGCCAGAGCTTGAAAACGCTTGCTTACCGAAATGTCAAAATTAGCATGTGGCCTTGACATTTTGCTTTGAAAATGTCTGTTTCTCAAATTTGAGATTGGGTGTGTTTTTCCTGCATTATTATTAAAATGCTTACACTTTCTGTCTCAGCAAATCCTTTGTGTTCTTTTCAGCATCCTCCCAGTCCGGAGTACCAATCCAATTTTATGCAGAAAATGCAGTTTGCCTTTGGCCACGCCTACTTTGGCTACTTGGGGAATGTTGTAGCCCTTGCAAACATTATTTCTATCTGTGTAAGTAAAAGGTTTGGGGTTTTTTGGTTGGTTGGTTTGGGTTTTTTTTTTGTTGTTTGTTTGTTTGTTTTGGTTTTTTTCCTCTGCTACAAACTTCAGTTCTGTTTTTGTTCTTTAGTCTCTGTTCTGATCCCCACTTTTTGTAGCAGATGTCCATGTTTGGCATGCTTTAGTCATGCAAAGTCTGAGGAGAGAATACCTGCAGTTAAAAAATATATTCTGAACTGCGTGAAAAGGTCTGTGCAAAGCATAAAAGACTGTTCTTATGCTTAAAAATCTGTTTTATGCAGCAGTAAAGCAGTGGATTCGTAAAATATTTCTTCTTGTTTAAGGTGGTTTTGGTGATGGATGCAGATAAGCAGCCGTCTGAAAGAGATGACTTTTTCCTGGGGGTAAGATGCAACAGATTCCTACAGGTATTGCTGTTCCCTCGGGTGTCAATAAATCTAATAATTATTTTTATTTTGGGGTAAAGGCTATCAACTGCTTCTTCATCCTATACTATCTGCTGGAAATGTTGCTGAAAATCTTAGCACTGGGCTTGAAAAGATACTTGTCATACCCAAGCAATAGATTTGATGGACTTCTGACTGTAATTTTGCTGGTAAGCTTTTTGTTAACCTTTGTATTCCTGGATGTGTTGACCAGTATGATTAGGAACTGCGAGAGCTTTTTATTCAACACTAATATGCCAAGTTAAACAGCATGAGCCAGTGTTGTGGTTTTCAGTGGCTTGAACATTTTGGTGGCACATGGTTCTCTTAGGGTCTCCTTTCTGGAGGTAGGCTTTTTTAAATTGATGGAAATTTGGTGAGCTTTCTTATAAGTAGCCTTTTAAATGTTGTTTGGAAACATTCAGCTGTTGGAATAATTAAATAAGGAATTCTGTTACATAGCTGAAATTCCCTTTGTGCTTTTTGAATTAAAAAAAAAAAAAGTGGCAAAATATTGGCATTATTTGGTAAAAGCCTGAAACCCATATGGCAGGTGAAGCCAAATACACTGTTAGTGTAATTCACTGTATATCCTTTTATGTGTCACTGTTGGATGATGTGTGTATGTTGGATTAATTTGGGGAATACCTGGTCAAATATGACAATTGCAGAGCTTTAAAGTGAGTCAAATTAGTGGCTTAAAGCTCTTGAGAATATTCCCTGTCAAGAAATTTACGTAACTTTTGAAACTTAGAATTACAGAGTAAGGTTTTGACTCTTTTTTTTTTCTTTTTTTCTTTTTTTTTTCTTCCCTAACTAAAGGTTTTGGAAATTGCAACATTTGCTGTGTATGGATTTCCTCATCCTGGTTGGTACGTACTCTCTGTGAACTGTTGCACTTTGCTCAGTGTCTGGGGTGGGTCAGGGGAATATATGCGCGTGTTCATGCGTGCTGATGTCGTGATGCTATGATTGTCCGCCCAGTCCATAATTTACCAAACCTAGCATTTCTCACCCTTGTAGAGGCCATGCAATTTGGATAAGTGAAAGAAAATTATTAATTTTTTTCATAAAATGCAGAGCTCTGTTTAGTTATCCTGAGCAGGATGCATTTATATTACTTGTAATCTGATGTAAAATAACAACTTGGCAGACCTACGCTTACTAAAGGTGCAGGAATGGGAACTTTGTACAACATATATAACCAGCTACTAACCTAGTATGTTTCAGTATCAGATTGTCCATAAGCCCAATTATATGAATTCCTAAACAGCTGGCGAAGCCCCTTCTATGTAGATTGAAGTCTAAGTTTTGTTTTGTGCTGTAAAATTTAGTAGAAAAATTCACGTGGAGTTAAACTATTTATCTATACTGGAATAGCAAGCTGTTGTATTTTGATTTTCTTAAGTTGAAGCAGTTCTTGGATAACTATTGTGATCTTTTTTTTGTTATAAAAAACATAAAAATCATTGTTTTGTCTCTTAAAATTTGAAAACTGCCACCACAACAAAAGAGGAGAGCAAAGGATTTCTGGCAGATTTCCTGAATCCTACTTTCAGGGGTGATTCATAACAATTCTGATACTTTGTTTCTTTACAAAGCTCACTGTTAAGACATTGGCTTTCCCTAATTTTTCAGGATGTTATGTTGCCATCGAGAAGTTACCTTAACTTAGACTAGTATCTAGGAGGAGACCTGGTAGACCTTACAGCTTTAAATGGGTTTATTTTTGAACACTACTTGTACTCCTATCACTCAAAAGCCATGGTTGCCATAAGGATATTAATTGCTAGCAATCTAATGGCGTTAACTATCGATTTAACTTACAACTTGGGCTTGATTTTTGCCCTTTGATTCTTAAATGTAGGAGATTTTTTGCACTACAGTAGTATCTTGAAGCGCCAATAATACTTGTTAGATCTTTGTGTCAGTCACTGCAAACAGGTTACAACCCAGATGAGTCATTCTGAGTCCTAATGCTGCTTATGGTGTGTGCTGTTGGTAATTGCTTGCTCTGTAGATATAACGTCTTCAGGACAGGACTAAGATGTGACTGTTATTCCAGAATATGTGTCTGTGCAGCGTTGTCTTAACTAATTTATTATTGAACATATTGCTGATGCAAATCACGAGTTAGCATCTGTGTTACTAAGGTCCTTTATCATTAACATCTTTGGTACCCCACCACCTGCCCACCCTTCCAGCAAAGAAGCATCCAGCATGCCAATGTACAAGTCAGCTAAAACTCAGGCTGAGATTTGAAGTGTGTGTTTATCACCTGTGGAATATGCATATAAGGAAGAAGGTTGGCAAGACAGTCTGTTAGCTTAGTGCTTTTTTTGAAGCCTAACTTCAGCCAAGCATACCCTGAAGGATTAATGCACATCTTTGTGCAAGTTCCTGATGTATCTCGCTCGAGCAGTATTTTTGTTTTGCTTTGTTTCCTGAAAGGACCGTCTTTGGTGCCTCACCCCCCCAGCAGAATGGAGGCCACTTACCCAGGGATCTTAGTACAACCATGCACATTAAAGAGCACTATATGTACATTTAGGAGCCCAGGCTAAATGGATCACTTCCTTCATCAGTTATTAGAGTTTACTATAGCTGAGATTTCTGCTGAGTAAATTAGTCTACTTCCTGTTACAGATTATAGATTTTTATATAGGATAATTCAGGCTGGAAGAGACCTCAGGAGGTCTGTAGTCCAGCCTCCTGCTCAAAGCTAGGCTGGACGAAGTTACTCAAAGCTTTATCCAGTTGGGTCTTGAAAACCTCCAGTGACGGAGACTCGCACAAGCTCTCTGGATAACGTGTGCCTCTGTCTTACTGTCCTCATGGTTGGTAAGTTCTTCCTTATATCTAGTGTGAGCCTCCACTCTTTCAGCTTACACCTACTGTCCCTTGCCCTCCTGCTATGCACCACTGAACAGCCTTGCTTCTGTCTTCTTGAGGACCACTTCAGAAGTATTAGAAGGCTGTTGCTAGATCCTCATGACGCAGGGGTCTCCAGGCTGAACAAGCCCAGTTCCTGCAGCTTCTATTTGTAGGGTAGGTGCATCATCCCCAGACCATCTTGTTGGCCCTCTGCTGATCTTGCTGCAGTTTGTCCCTTTCTTGTATTGGGGATTCCAAAGCTGGATGCAGTGTTCTAGTCAGTCATAGGTTACAAATAGAGTTTACATGAGGAAATAAAACTTTTTTTTTTCTCCCCCAATTTTTTAATATGCCATGGATGTTAACCAAAAGTTGTGGGGAATTTACAGTTACCTGCAGCCCAGTAGATTTAACTGTGTCTTTGTCATGGGCTGTTTCTCTGATGTGTTATTTTCTTCCATCTTTCCTAGGAGACCTGAGTTCATGGGCTTATTATCTCTGTGGGATATGGTGCGATTGGTGAACATGTTAATTGTGTTCAGGTTCCTGCGGATTATTCCTAATATGAAGGTGTTTATTTATCCCTCCACGCTTCTGATTTCTTTGTTGGTCAAATTATAAATTTTGTTAAAGCCTTTCAGAATAACATGTAGATCGCAATTCTCTTGCACCTGAGTGGGATTACAACTAAGCTCTAACTGTCCAGACTATTGCACAGCACCTCACAAACTCACTGTCTCTTTAGCTGGTTTTCTCTGTTGAGGTGGCAAGCAAATTCTGTTGATGTCACTGCAAATGATGCTGGTGTTCTAAAGTGGGTGAATGCATCCAGAAACACTTGTGCAGTGCTTCAGTCTTAATTAGATGAGCGGATATGATATCCTTGAAGAACTTTGTACTCAGGACGTGATGGACTTGCTTTCACTAGATACTGCCAGACATTTTGGTCATGCAAAGGGTTATTTGGGATGAATCCCTCTTTCTGCTTTCCTAGTATGGGTATTTCCACCAGAATACATGTACTTAAATCTGAAATCACTTTGAGTTGTTTGATTGTTTGTTATAATCCTGCATTTAGACTTGCTTGAAAGCTAAGTCCAAATTAATGTCAGGTGCAGGACTTGTATCTTAGTTCAATAAGCCATAAATATCTACCTGATGTAATCAGAGGTCATAACGTCAGGGGAAAGTGTAAACTAGAAATTATGTGGATCAAATATGAAGCAGTCACTCTGGAGCTGTGGGGTGCTTGTGACTTTTTCTAAATATTTATTTATTTTCCCTGTTCTAGTTTTACTAGACACATAGCCCTTTAAGTCACAGTGCCTGTGTATATTTAAAACTTACCATAATGTCTGTGTATGAAAAGGACTACAGCACTGTTCATTCATTGTAAGTACGTCATGGAAATATCACTGTATAAAAGATGTCCTGCATTTAGATATAGCTCGCTTTCTTAGTTGGTATTTCTTTATCCTTTTAGTAAAAATAATTTGATATGGATTGGAAGTCTGATGAATGTCGTGCATATAAAATTCTGCTTTGTTTTAGTTCATGGCTTTGGTTGTTACTACATTGCTGGATCTGGTAAAAAACTTGAGAGCCTTTGCAGGAATCCTTGTGGTAAGTCATGATGCAAGGTTGTAATTACCTTTCCTATAGTTAGTAGTATAATAAGGGTATGTCATCAACAAAGTAAACAAGGTTCTTTGAGAATTACTGTGAACAGTAACATTTCACTTTAATCAGCCAGTTCTTCTCCAAGGCATGTCTTGCAGAGCCACAACAAGCTACTGTTTTGTTATGGGCTGTGCACAGTGACTGCCTCATTTATCAGTTTCCTTGAGGATTGCCTTTAAAAGATTGTTTGAAACTTCCTCAGAGTGCTTGCCTCAGGCTGGATACTCTAGTTTCAAATAAAAACTCATCCGATGCTAAAAGTAGCCTAGTTTTCCTTACCCTGGCTTGCTTATGTTAAATTCAATAGCAACACAACTTTAAAATTGTTTTCAGTTGAGAAGGTCTTGAGATGGCATGTTTGGACATGCCTTCTAAAAGCCTCTGCTATCCTGTTTTAGGTATGTCCGTGCAGAGCGTATACTCTGTAAACATGGGATTAAAGGATGGATCACAATGTGTGATGTCTATTACATAAATCCTCCATTTTGCAACTCCTGAGTTTCTGGCTTTGCAACAATGTCTTCCTGGTAGAGCAAAGAAGTGCCTGGGTAGTTTTTGTTGTTGTTGTTGTTTTGTGGGGTTTTTAGGTTACCTTAATTTGAGGTAATGGTCAGAGACCAAGGATTTTCTCTATATTAGGCATTTTCTAAAAAGTTGTTCTAGTCTATATACTTAGCTTGCCATTTACCCAGAATATCTGGTTTTGTTATTAGTAATCTCTGTTTTTATCTGTATGGGAGGGACCTTAAGCTGCAGTCTGGAGAGTTTGATGTTGCAATTTGAAGTAAAGATACTGGTTCGGGCAAAGCTAAATTGGTAACAACTTTGTTTTGCTGTACAAGTCACACTTGCCACTGGGAGCTACTCTTGAAAGTGAGAAAAGCTTTGGGACTGCATGAACTGGGAAGTTAGCCTTTGCAGGTGCAAGTACATTTTAGGAGCCTAAATGCTAATCTTGCGTATGCTAGGAACAGGTTTAGTATAATGAAAAACTTTTCATTACTCAAGTAGTTACTCAATGTACTAAGCTGTCTAAAGGCTGACTGCAGTTTCGCTAATTTTGTCAGTTCTTGATTAAGTACATACATCATGCTAAAGGAGCAGGCATTATCTTGTTGCCTCTGTCAGAGGCTGGTGGGGTTGCATCGTGGGTAGGTGGGGGAGGCAGTGATTGATATTGCTGCTGGATCTGACATGGCCCAGGCGTCAGAGCCCTGGGAGAGAGCAATTATGGGGTGAGCTGTTTTGTGCTTTACACTAGGACACCAAAGCTGTGGTGCTACTGGTATGGCTGCACCTGGGCTGTAGCGTTCTGCTGGAAGCTCTTTTCATTCCTGAAAGACATAGCTAAGATGGCAGGAGCCTGTAGAAATATGCTTGATTTTATTTTTAGAAACTATGCGTTACTGTTTCAATGTGGTGTCCCTGCCCATATATGTAAGACATAATGCTCATGAAGTGGTTTAAGTGTCTGATGCTGATTGTCCTTAGTGCTGAGAGTGTGAATTGTAGTTGTGCACCAATTGTGAGGCAAGTCTGCCACAGCATTTGCCACTTCCGTTAATTAAATTTGCTTTTACTTGAGGCTACTTGGAAGCTGTCACTGAGCTTCTACTGTTAGTGAAGTCTGACTCCATTACCAGCTGATGCAAAACAAGTTTCCTAACGTTAGCCTGGAACACACGCTGATAAAGTAATGTAACTGATTAGCTAATTTTTCAGGCAGTGCGTGTTTTAAAGGTATGTTTTTCAAAGACTAAAATTAACTTTATTATTGCTGGGCCAGATACCCCATCTTCTGGCAGGCTGTGGAATGTCAGCTTCAACTTATTCCAGTAGAGTTCAAAGTGCTATGGTTCATAGGTCAGGGCAGTTTCTCTTCTACTCTTCCCAGACTTCCCTCGTGGGTCTGTTTTGTAGCAAAATACAGAAATATGACTAATGACATTTTCATTTGAAGACTCGGCTTGTTTCAAGCTGTCCTAGGACAAATGGCTCTTTACTCAGAGGGGCGAAGTTGTAGGTTACTACTAGAACAATCTTTTTAGGGTAAAAATTGCAATATCACCTAGGCAACTGCTGAAGACTTGTGAAAGGTATCTTTTTAAAATGAAGTTTGCATTTCTAACAAGTAAAAGAAGTTCTGAAATCCTTTGTGTTGAAAACTTTATTTTTAGCATAATATAACATTTTTAAAGAAATTGCTGATGTAATATAAAATACTGACTTAGTTTTGTCCTTCAGTTAAGTTTAGTAAAAGCTTCTTTTCACTGAGTCTAGCAGAAAGCTCCCCAGATATTTAGATTGTTCCTTGTAAATACAGGTACTGTTTTTTGGTTTTGTTTTTTAAGTCACTATTCTGCAGTGTTAATAGTTAAATATCAGCATTCTGAGGCACAGAAAAGTAAAACAGATCATAAAGTAAAATGATTTAATGCATTTTAACAACTGAAAGTTAAATAGAATATTAAAAAGTAAGAGCAGAGAGTTAATTAATAAAGACATTGAGAAGTATTTTCACTTTAATAGCTTCAGGCAGTGTTCTTGACGAAATTCCTTTAACTGTGGTACTAACATGAGTTTCATGTTAATTGCATTGTTTTCTTATTTAGTGGCAGAAATATTCAAAACTAACACTTGCTTATATTCCTTCCAGGTGGTTTTCTATGCATTTGCTATAACTGGTATAATGCTATTTAAAGGTGCTGTTGTTCCCTTGGGAAATATCAGGTAACATTCTAAAGATCACTACTCAGAATCTGTTTTTCAAAAGTATCTGCAACTTGGTACCTCTGAGTTGTTTGTGGTTGGTTTTGGCTTTTTTAAACTCTTACTCTTGGAGCCACCCTTCTTTTAATGTTAAATCACACAGACTTTTTTCATCTGTTATTCCTTCTGTTTCTTCTTGCTGTATTGAAATTGCAGGAATGCTTTTCTGTAGCTTGAAATTTTACACTGCTGTTGCTTCAGTACTTTTTAAACTATTTCCTTTGTTTTCTGCCCGTATGAGAAACTTGACTTTCTACAAGGGACTCAGAAGAATCTTGGTTTTAAGATATAGTACATAGAAAGCTATGCTTACATCAGCCTGTAATTCTCTTGCAGTGCTGTCAATACAACATATGATAATGGCACTCTGCAGTGTGGGACCTATGAGCAGCTGGAATATTGGCCAAACAACTTTGATGACTTTGCTGTGAGTCTGATCGTTGATGGAATCCGTCCCTCCTTCCCTCTCTGCTTGTCTCTTCGCCTCATTTTCTGAGGCTTAAGTGTGTGGTATAGCCACTCAACTTCTGTTTTACTCATGTTATTTAGGCAGCAGTGGTGACCCTCTGGGATGTGATGGTGGTAAACAACTGGCAAGTCTTTTTGGAAGCGTTTTCAAGATATTCAAGTCCGTAAGTAGCAGTAATAATACTGAAAAAGTCCCCTATAAATCTAGCTTATAAGGTAACTGAACAAGAATTATACACATAGCACAGTTCCTACCATTTGCTAAGAGGGGTGCCGTTTACCTTTCTTTTGGGTCAATTCAGGTGTATAGGAAATGATATAGTTCTTTAACTTGTGTAACTTGATGGTTGGTCTAGTGCTTGGTGGATGCCATGAAATCTGTAGTGATATTTAGAAGGGATTGGAAACTGGCTTGGTAGTCATCCTCCTCCAAAAAAGAGTGAATGTCTTAAGTGGATTATAAACAACGTGTATTGGGTGAGTGGCTCTTGCTGTAGAGCCAATCTCACAGAACTGAGGTATTAGTGAAACACTGTAATTAATTTTGGGCTGCTTCTGTGTTTTCCCTGTGGGTGAACAATTTCTTGTAGACTTAAAACGTTGGACGTATCTTTCATTTGTGTTTGATTACTTTATGGGAATGTTTGAATGAACTGGGTGGGTAGCCCCTCGGTTGAGCTGTTGCAGTGATCCTTGGCTGGTTAACCCAGCATGTAGTTAAGTTGTGGAATGCTCTTCTACAGTCTGTTCTGTGTGATAAATGTTTAACGTGGTCTGGTGAAGACTGGACAAGTCATGAAAGAGAAATCCATTGGGATCTGCCATGAATGGAATCTACTTCTAGCTCAAGAGATCTCTGAACTGCAAATGGTTGGAGATTGGGAGAGCTCTTAGGGGGTAGCATCATATGTATTTTGCCATGGTTTAGCACTCTTTCCTGTGCTTCTGCTGTTGACCACTCTCAGAGGATACTGAGATAGATGGATCTTTTGCTGTGATCCAGTACAACTTCTTCCAGGCTGTTTTTCTGTCCCTTCAGAGTTCAATTAGGTATGTTGCATGGGGGCAGTGAGCCTGTTTGGCTAACTTAATGAAAGGCTAAGATTTTTTTACTTTTTTTTGTTCCAGACCTCCTTTTACATTAAGATAGTAGTAGTATATTTTAAGGAAAAATGTGATTTCATGGCTTGCTTTGGTGACTTTCAGGCTGAGGTTATTTACTGCTTGCTTTACTTACTGTTTGTTAATCTGATCTGCAGGTGGGCAAAGATCTATTTTGTAGTCTGGTGGTTGATCTCCTCTGTCATCTGGGTTAATCTCTTCGTAGCTTTACTTCTAGAGGTAAGGAAGTGTGTTTATTTTGTATTGGATCCTGAAGACAGGTTCTAATTTGTGTGGGAAATGAAAAGAACCCAGACATCTTTTTGGGAAGAGTATGCTGGTTTTGTGCGTATGCTTCCTTAATCTTTCACCTTGCTGCCCTTCCCCTGAGATGTTGAGGAAGCATTTTATTTTTCCTAGACAATTGTATATGTCACAACTTTGTCACAAATCTGGTTGTATTTCATTGGGTGTGTACATTTGCCATTATAGCTCACTTTTTATAAAGATGGAAAATATTTTAAGTATTATAAAATTGCTTGTCTCTACATTAGCATTTAACTTCAGCATTAGTTATTCAGGCTGCAGGCTTTTTGCATTTTGATTTGTCAGCAAATGAATTTAGCACTTCAAAATTTGCATCTTTATTTTATTTGGTTGTCCTGTGTTTCTTCCCACCCCAATTTGAATTAATACCCTTTTAGTGTGGAACTGAATAAGAGTGGAACTGATTACTTATTTTGAAGATACCATCTTCTAGAGTTTTTTAAAGCAGCTGTGGAAATGTAGGTACCTAAGCAATGCCATGAAGAACGTGTAGTTCCACTGTTTTCTCGTGTATGCATACTTCTCTGCAAATCCAAATATGTTTGAAATTTTTGATGGTGAAGGGAATGTTAATTGTAGCCATTTAGTCCAGGTTAATAATCATAGACTTCTCTTATAAGTAATGGAAGAAATTGAGTACCTGTAGAGGGCACTTCACCCCATCTTAAAACCTATGAAAATTTCTTTTAGAGGTGGTGTTCTTGTTGACCTCATCGAGTAAAATTTACTACTGTAGGCAGAATAGCAAACTTCTAGACAGAAACTTAGGTATGAGCCTCATGCTGAGGCTCAGTCTTGCCCATAAACTTTTCAGAAAAGATTTTCTGTTCTAGTTGGAGGCTAATCCTATGATGTCTTCTACCTGCTTACTTCCGCAGGGCTGTGGCCAAAGTTCGCTGTAAGAGCCAAGATGCAGCATTCTGTAGCAGGAGTGCAGGATGTCATTATTTTTCTCCCTTTTTTTTTTTTTTTTTTTGCCTGAGCTGTCTTGTCTACTTCCCAGGTATTGATATGTCAGAGTAATTCAAAATGGCTAAGGGAGCATGACATAACCAGAAGCTGAGTTTAAGTTGTGATGCCTGGACTAGGCGTATGTTTATGTAATGTTGGGTCTTTGAAGAGCAAAAAATTCAAAGCAGGTGAACTCTTGTGGGTAGTTCACACAGTTATCTTGGGGAGGCAGTCCTTGCTAGGAGTAGAAGGCAGCAGGGCTGTCTTCTGCTCTACTGTTCTTTCAGTGTGTGATGAGAAAGTTAGTTCATTCCTGAACAACAGGCTCAAATAAAGTAGTGACCTGCAGCTAGTAAATATGCTGATGCTTAAATAAATCACTGCTCTGACACTCTGTGTTAAAAACAAACCTCACTCTCCTCCCAAACCTTTCCCGCAAACATACTGACCTGATGTAACCTCTTTCCTGGTGTCACCAGAAGTAGCCTTTAGGTTTTTTTTTCCTGTTCTTCTTACATTTCAGAACTTTATTCACAAGTGGGACCGTCGCTGTCATCGGGAGCCTCTCTCAGATATTGAATACCAGAGGACAGTTGAACTAATGTTCAGGTGAGTTGAACTGGGCTTAATAATCAATCTGGTTTTTTATGTTCATCTGTTTTAAAGAAAGTGTGCTGGCTGCAAGAGGGTAAAAGGCTTGTCTTCTATTTCCTCCATCTGAAGCAAACTGTTTCATCTGTTGGTTTGGAAAAATACAGTAAGTGCTTTAATTAGGCCTGCTTTAAGCTGACTTGGTAGCCTAACCTTTATATGCTTTCTGCCCATAGCATGATGGGAGAGGAGGTGTTGGGGACGGGGAGGGGGGGCAGCTGTGCTGAGAGGGAGGAGAAAAGGGAAGATGAGGAAAGTGATGCACGTTCTTGGCTTATTGTGAAATTGTGGGTGGTGAGTTGATACTCAATGATCACGCACAAGTAGAACTCCTGGTGCACATTGGATATTCAATAGTAGCATTGGGAACATGTTCTCATTTGGGAGTTTTTTCAGAAAAACAAATTTACTGACCTTCAGTTGTATTGTACTGTGTGCAGGAAATTGCTTCCCTGCTTCTTATGGGAAAACAGCTGCTGGTTTCCGTGACACATCTGTAAAGGATAGATCACTTGCAAGTAGATGCATCTTTAGGGAGCATCAACTTATTGTAACTTTTAATTCCTTGTTTCATTCTTGAAACAAGCACACGTTACATCTTAGTTATGTGCATTGCAAAAACAAATGCTGAGAAGTTCCCTTTGCTGCCCCTAACCGCTCATGCTTTTTCTTTGTAGAGATGTTTTGGAAGAACCTACAGAGGAAGAACTGATGGAAAAACTGCACCAGCATCCACACCTGCAGTTATGTAGGTGACTGGTGGGAAGGACTGATTTATTTAGACCTCTGTTTTCTTGAGGTTGTCAGCTGGAAGAAACTGAACGGATTTTCTGTGAGGTGCTGTTAGAGAGGCTTGTAGGACAGTATGTGAGGTTTTGCTTGGCAGTTCTCTGCAGAAAGAGGTTTTTTATTTTTGGTTTATATCTTTTTTTGAAAAAGATTTGAATCTTGCGAATTTGACTTGATTTTTAAGTTGGGATTTTAGAGGAATATTGTAGCTGTTATTTTTATAAACTGTTGATATCAGAATGTTTTATTTTATCTTTTTTTAAGATGGGAAAGTGTGTTTAAAATGACAGTGCACTTTAAAACATGAACTTGGTAACCACTAAGCCTGTTACTTGTTTCAGCACAAGAAAATGGAACTGCCTTTTCTGGTAGGTGAGTGTGGCGAGGGCTGTGCCCTGCAATTCATGAATGGATTAGGCAGGACCAGAACAAAATCCTTAAATCTTTTTGTAGCGAGAGTTGAAACACTATTTTTATTGAAATGTGACACCAGCATATCTTAGCAAATTTTCAGGAGTTAATCATGTCAGAACACAATCAATTTCAACGGTAACAGGGACTGCCTACTTTGCACATCCTCTCTTTTTCTTTGTTTTTGATCTAGGGTTTGTGCTGGTTGCATCCTGCTGGTAACTTTGAGAGCAGTTATAACTTTGAATGGAGCAATTGCACTCGTGGTTTTCAATGTGGTAAAATTGAGCTCTCCTTTAGAGTAAATATTCTCATGTTGCTTTTTAGCGAACCTCTTCCTTTTACTTTCTTCCAAGTCCTGTTCTACGCTGTATTGTATTCCATGAAAAAGCTGAGGAGAATAAACTTTGGCCGGAATGTAGCACCATGATCGCTGCGAGTCTCCCACTTAAACGAGGGGAGAAAAAAAGTTGAATGGGATAATCAAAGTGCTTAGCAGCTCAAATTTTCACGTGAGTCTGTGGGAATTGAAAGTGCTCAACCAGTATTGCAAGATCACATTCTTTTACGGCTTAATGACCACATGCTGTATACCACTAACTTTAACCTGGGTAATACTTTTTTGTTAAATAACTTCACCAACAAATCTAAAATGGAGAATTGACAGTAAGCTGTGTCCATGTGCTTTTCATTATCCCGTAGTATTCCTCTAAAGAAAGGTGGGGTTTTTTTTGAATCTTCGTCATATAACTAGTAAATCGCTATGAAGAATAGAATCAATCCCAACTATTTTTATATGTAAAAATCAAACTACGCTTTGGGCTGCTGCCTTGTCATTGAGACACTTGTCACCAAAATAGACATTACTGTGATCATCTCTGCATTGACAAAGGCTTGGGGAAGGTAACTGGCCATAAAACACTGCTGCTATGTATAAGTTATTTGATCCTTTTTTAGATAACAGAATATTTTTCAAAATTGCCAAGCAGTCATCCTTTATACTTTTCCTCCTCTTTTTTTCTTCATTTGTCTTTTCTTTCTTTCCTGCTTAAGAGAGAGGAAAATATCTGGGATGATGGTGCATTTTTGGTCAAAAGCGTATTTCTGCCTTGTCTCACTGTTCTGAAGTTGTGTAGTGATTCTTGTCTGTTTCTTTATCTTCTGCTTATGTTTGTGCTATGGAACAAAATGTGTTGTAGCTTGCACATGTGTAGAATGAATCTGAACTGAGCTCTGAGCTACTCCTGCAATCTTTCTTTACTTGCCTCCGAAGCCATGCTCTTGTCTGTGTTCAGTATCTTGTCTCTGTTCCAGAATAATCTACCCAGTAACTCACTTGGGCTTGTTTCAGTGGTGTTACCATGCTTGTTTTCAGTCATGCACTTAGAACACACATCATGGCAAGTAGATAAAGGCCTCAGCACGCAGTTTTTTTTCTAGATTTGAGTTTGTTTTTTTCAGTATGGCTTTATGTCAGGATGGTTTCTGCTCCTTCTGGCATGATGTAATCACTGCCACCAATTTATTGGCACTTATTAACAGAGGTTAAATAGCCTTTTTTAGCTTTTTACTGAAAAAAAAAAAAAAATTTTTGTTTTCCAGTTTTCTGAACACTTGAAGAAGTAGCTTTGCCTTGCCAAAAAGGAAGTGGCTGGTTCTTATTAACCTGCAAGTTTAATTTTTTTTTTTTTTTTTTTTGTGTCTCAAGGTTGCTTGGGTTTGGGGGTTGGTTTGTTTAGGGTTTTTTTGGCCATTACGTTCCACTACAGTCTACCAAAGCAACACAAATTGGTGTGGGATTATCATAAACATCACAAATGTCTCCTTATGCAATCTTTGCATCTGGACAAATGTGAAGAAGGCTTTCTGAAGGGAATAGTCTTAGTCTTGTTCTTGTTTCAAATATGTGTAATTGACTGAAAGTGTAACTAGAATTTAATACAGAATTGTGGTACCTAGTGTCACTTGTATTGGAAGATGTAAACGACCACAAGTCTTATGCAATAATTGTAGAAATCATGAAAATGAATGTACGTAACTGGGTAAAATTTGAAGTTTGCATTATTAAAAAATGTTCCTTCTTAAAAGATGAAAATAATTGAAATGTGTTGAAATGGATTCTCGTGGTTTGTTTTTGCTCTTCCCCCGTTACTGATTTCTGCTGTGCTTAGCATCTGTGCTGCCATTATCTTTACTAATTGAAGGCTGGGCCCATGGAAGAGGTTACATGCAAGCGGGACTTAGGTGCCTGGTTTCAAAATGCAGGACCTAAAGTATGCTGCTCTGTTATTCTCCAGTTCTAGAGGCGCATAACAGCATCTGTAGGTACTTGATACGCTTAATTTTTAAGGTGAAACTTCATTGGAGCTGAGCGTTGAGGGTGTTGAGCAGCTTGATTGCCATTTGCATTTCAGTCTTTGCATCTGCAAACTAGGTATTTTTTCTTTCCTTTTTTTTTTTTTCCTTGAAAAGATTAGTGCAATAAGCATTCTCATAGCATTTCAACTGGGACACATTTTGCACATAGTTTAGTACTGTCCGTGGCATTCTTTTGAAACACGTTCTGGTTCAGTGTCCTGGTTTCAGCTGGGATTTTCTCCCCCGCTGAATGGGGAGGAGTGAGCGGCTGCGTGGTGCTTAGTTGCTGGCTGGGGTTAAACCACGACATTCAGAAGATGATTTTTTTTTTTTTTTTTTTAAGAACAGAACAAAATCAGTTCTGGGTCAAGCTAAAGCCTTAAGTTTGCTGATGTCTCTGAAAATGGCTGTTGTGGATGCTTAGGTGAAGCGTGCGAAAGCCAAAGCAAATAGAAGATCATCTTGCATTAATAAATCAGGCTCAGATTTTTCTAGCTTCTGAAGGAGGGCCTTAATCACCAGACTGTTGGCTAATTTGGGGTTCCTCGGGTATTATTTTTTTTTTTCATTCTTGATTTGCTATGAATTTGTATTACTTAAAGATTTAGGAGTAAAGGGAGAGGATGGACGCAATGGAAGTGTTCTTGATTCTTTCAGTAGAAATACAGTGATAAACCTTACAAGCACACCTAACTATGGAGAAACTTAAAAAGCTTGTACTGATCAGAGCTGCAAATGGGGCGGCTAGAATAACCTAGTAACTGTATAGAAGTGGCAGACAAAGGAAGAAATAATGTCTTGAGTGTCAGGGGTTTGTGTGAATAAAGTGCATGAGACGTGCTTTCTTGGCCTCTCTTTGTCGTGGTGATATTGTACATCTCTTGACACATTTTAGGCAATATTGCTTTTTCATCCCTCTAACACTTTTTAATGTGCATAAAACTATAGGGACATACAAAGCTATAAGAAAAAATGGGGTCTGTAGGAAACTGATGCAGGGTATAGATTAGTTACCTCTACCTCCCATTTCAGAGATACGTTTTATCTTGTTAGATGGTTTATCTTTTCACCTGCCAGTATATTACAAGGAGTACATAATGTTACCACAGCTTCTGCTGTTGTTTAATAATGTACTTTAGTCAGTAGAAGTCATTTCAGTACTCCATCTGTCTTGGGTTTTTGTTGAAAACAAAATAAAAATAGGTGTTTGCCTGCTTTTTTTTATGTAGATATTGATGATTATTTTTTCTTTCACTAGATTTTTGTCTAATTAAAAGCCCATTCAACTGATGGGAGTTTTCACCAAATCAAATGGTTTTGACTTAATCTGCAGTATTTATAAACATTCAGAGCCATTTGTTATGTGAACTCTGGGTAGAAATAATTTGGGGGTGGGGGCTGGAGAGTTAAGATTTGGTTTCTATTCCAGCTCTAACCACTTCACTATGTAGGATACTGTTTCAAAATGACCTTGATGAACTAGAGGAAATTGCCAAAATTATCAGAGTAAAATTAAAGAGATAAATGTGGACTGTTGCAGTTTAGAAGCACAAAATGTAGAAGTACATAGCAGGGAGTCAGTGGTATTAGAAGACAAATATTATAGGGCTTAGTGTACTACAAATTGAATGAGCTAACAGCATCTGAAAGAGATCAAAAGAAAATCATTTTGCTGTAATTTGTAATCGTACTTCCCTTTAGGCCCCACTATTCCCTTTTTGGGCCCTGCATTTTAAAATAAACAGGTGGGGGGAGGTATTTGTTATAGGACAGTAATAGAGGTCTTAAGAAATTTGGAAGGTGTGAGTTGGGAAGAATTTTGAAGGACATAATTTGTTCAGGCAAACAAGAGACAGGCAAATAGTTTTTAAAGAATATTCAAGTATGTAAATCGTCGAGAGGAGCAAACTGTTCATGTTGTGTAATCTCTGTGTGCTGATTGTAGGACAAGTCGTAGTCTGGATTTTGGCAAAAAAGAGTTGCTGGATATGAGGGATGCTTCCTAACTCAGAGCACTGTACTCTGGGAGGTCACAGGCTTCCCTTCACTTGAGTGCCCTTTTAGGAAGTCACCTGCTACAGCTTTGTCTGGATGTTTGTGAACCTGCCCCTGCTTGACGGTGCCTCAGCTGGTCCCTGAGATCCTGTCCCGCCTACCTCTCTGTGGTTTCACTGGAAAGAATTCCCATGGCTGTAACAAACCTTGCTTTTGTTGTTACAGCATGTGCTGTTGGTTCTAGCTAA